TCATATTGTATACAGCTGCCATCATTATCATTGTTATTGTGTTAAAATTCTTTGAGGTATTCACGGTTTTATGACATCGATATCATAGTTATGATTGTGTTGGTTAGATTTATAAATTGCAAATGTAATGGGTAATTTAGTCATAACTTCCTTATGTGTATACTGAACTATAGTATCTTGAAATGTAAAACCTATTATTTAATTGTGCAATATGTGCTACTGATGTCGACAGATATAAGTAGTATGTATCATCAATCGAAAGTGAAGTGCATGACGGCACAACGTTAAGAAGGTCGAAGAAAAGAGAATGATCAGTGTGGAAACGTAGGAACAATGATTGATATTCTGCAAATGATGTATTTACTTTATGGTTCTCTGACTTTACTAAAGGATTCTTTAATTTCGTGTTCAGATAAATTTGATTGTTTCTCATTCACCACAATTGGAACATTTTACAAAATCAGACTACTGAAGAATATTCTTCATGGATTAGAAAATAACTTTGTTATTTGAAAAGATTTATCAAGATTGGAATAAGAAATTTTCGAGAAAATTGAAAAGGAGATGAAATATTGAAATAAGCAGATTTCAATTAGAAGGGGATTTGTGGAGATTTCAGTATATTTCAAAGTTGAAATCATGGGTCAATTAAAGCTAGACCACCATCGAAAACCTGGAAGCACTAGATGGCCGTTTCGTCCTATTATGGGACGCCTCAGCAGTGCGCACCCACGATCTCGCATTCGCGAGATTCGAACCCAGGACCTACCACTTACGAGCCAGAGCCCTTAACCTATTATCATCTGAATACTCCGATTAAGATAGGAAACTTTTGTAGCTTAGCTGATTGCTTCTGATGATGTTCCATCCTTTTAGTTAGATGATTTTCTTCGAAAGTTTTCGATTGCTATCATGGATAATGTTATTTGGAACTATCTTGATTAGAGGTGAAGATCTTCAGTTATTTCACAAGCTCTCAGTCTGTCTACTTTATTGATTGTATTTGTAAATTCAAATAAACTATAGATACAGTCCACTGATGATAAATCTAATGATGATCCATACAAGAGTCTAGACCATAAAAAGTATCATCTATCTGATTAATCTTTGGTTTTATCTTTGTTTTAGTTAAACAATCACAGTCACTCGATAGAAAAAAACAATTTTCCCCTAATGCATATTCATTAATTCATAGACTGTTGAAAACAGAACTCAATCAAATCAAAACTTTTATGGAAGACAAACTGAAGAATTACAGAATATGCAAAATTCATTGTATATTTTAATTCACCTTAGTTAAATACAAGCCTACTGAACAATTTGAACTGTACCTAAAACTAATTTGTAAGGATGGCTCGTTCGTAAACTCAACGAAGCCTCAAGAAGCTCAGAAAGAGCAGAAGACATTCCATCCAATCACCACTAGGGAAACATTCTAGAATGTTGACGTGTAACTTGCCTATTGGATGAATAAGAAGGACCCCCTATGTGCCTATTGGCTGTCCGAAATGATGATTTACTTTCAGCCAAAAACTATAAATAAATGAGATTTTTGTACTATGTTTGACACTGTGTTGGGAAATACATTTCTACTCACTAGTCTTCTGTCCTTTCTCTTGCGTCGTTTCGGGTTCGATCATTCAAATAGTTTAGTAGTACGCGGTATAGCAAGAATTTAAAGCTCTAGAGGTAACATAATTTTCTATTATTTTTCAGTGCTCTCAGTTGTTTTGTTGCTGAGGTCCAATAATAATTTAGATTTCCTAAAATTATACGGCGATATCTAAATTAATTCTTTTGAAAAATAATAATAAAAATTAGTATAGATGATAGATTAATTTTTTTTAATAATATGCATTCTAATTAATTGGTTCGGTTAAAATAAAGGGTTTAGCTTTACAATGATAAGTAGTCATTACAGAGATCTTATCAGTCAGTTATATCTCTATGTTACTATCGTATCATTTAGAGAGAAAGAATTGTACATCTAAATGATTAATGAATGAATATAATATTCGAATCTAAGCTATTGAATTACTAATTTGCCGTTAGAAATTGTTATATCTGAAACATTTCGAATTCACCAGTTAGCGAACGAAACAAAGACCTGTTAACAGAGACCGATAAGCAAGGTATTCTGATGCGTCTCAAACCCAGCTAACTAGAGTAAGAAGTCCAAGTTGGAAGCGGAGAAAATATATTCCGTAGCTGCCAGAAGCACAGCAATCGTAAGTGGAAAAAAATCAAACGTATATGTACAACAATAATTTGTCCTTCGGCAGCCTTACAAAATAGCATTCTCAAAAATACAACGGACCAATAGCGTATAAAATATTTTACAAGTGAGAAATTCGACTCGAAGATGAAAAGAGCGTTTTTGGAGCGAAAACGAAGAAATTCAAATTTTCAAAATAAAATTACAAAATTAGATCATTTACCAAGTAAGTTCTGGGCATTCAACATCCCCAACAGAAACAATTTATTTAGACTAAAAATATTTAATTGTTCAACTATACACTGTTATTTACAACTACAGTCGTTTTGAAATTAACCATCATGCTGTAATATTGTAGTGAACAAAGCACCGGTTAGGGCTCCGGCTCGAGACTGGTAGGTCCTGGGTTCGAATCTCGCGAGAGCGGGTTCGTGGATGCGCACTGCTGAGGAGTCCCATAATAGGACGAAACGGCCGTCCAGTGCTTCCAGGTTTTCGATGGTGGTCTAGCCTCAATTGACTCATGATCTTAACTATAAAATCGAATGTATTTAAGCATAAATTGCAGACTATCTCACTAAATTCTGATAACCATACAGTGAACAGTTAATTTGCAAAATAACAACCAGTTGGTCAATCTTCACTGTTCCTTCTTTAAATATCGGTTCATCTTCTTTAATTCCATTGTTTATGCATTTTCCTACCAATTGCGCTTCATTTCAGTACTTTCCTTATCGGTGTTCTGCCAAAATACATTGTATGTCTGACCATCGCCATATACTACTTATATAGATATAAGTAGACCACACTACAATATGATATAATTGTTTATGAATGTTTATGAAGACAAATGATATTTGGGAGCCGAGTCAATGTAAGACATTAAATAGGAAGAATATATTTGTAAAAATCTCAGAGAATGAATTTGAAGTAAATCCAACGTTTCGCCTGGTAATCTGGTCCAAGCTTTTTCAAAGAAATATTTACTTCAAGTACAAAAATTTCATAATGTACAGCATGTTAGTTAAACCATCAAATCTTGAATAAAGAAAAATAAATGAATATCTTAACAGAAGAACATGAAATCATTCATTTCATGAATTCTTTTCAGTTGTGTTTACAAGTTTATATGTACGTGTCAAAGTGCATACATAGAACGAGAGAACAGAAAGTAGGGTTTGTGTCTGCATCTCCGAAAATATTCCACGAAAGTCGAGACTTAACAAACAGAAGATTTTTAACAGTGGAATGGCTTATCATTTGCTTGACATTGGACATGTTGTTGAAGTTGCGAAATACTTGAAATAATCAGTAAACAGGGGAATTCAAAATTATTAAGTTTTGAAGAAGCTGTGACGAGACTAAAATTTATAGACGAGCCAGTCACAAGCGTTTGAGGGATTTCTAGGTCATGGCGCCATTTTCAGTACCTGATGCTCATGTACAACCGGTTCACAGAGGATTTAAGAGAAAACAATAAATGGGACTACTAAGAAGTTCCTTTATTTGTAATCACTGTAATCAAATGAATTGTAGACCTAGTGCAGACTACTGTGATGTTGTCGTTCAATGTAATATGTGTTGGAAGGAGACGTCTGATAGTATAGGAAACTTTTTCACTCGAATCAGATTGGGACTAAGGCAAATTATAATAATTGCTACGAACTGTATTATAAAGTCACCAGTATTATTGGCTGCAATAATCGCAGATGTTACTGAAGCTTCTGCTGTTCAGTAGTCCAAGTAGTTTTTTGGGATATATGCGTAATAAAAATGACAAACTTACAAAACCGGAGTACACACAAACAATATTGAAGCCATGTGGTCGAGGCTGAGAGGGTTTTTGCGACTTCATCATCGATCCAGAGGCCGACTATTATGAAGCCATATGGATGAGTTCCTCTACCTTATGCATTACAATCTTCGAACTTTTGAACCTCTTTCTAACCTTGACAAGTTTTTGGACCATATAAAAGAAGTGTGTCCACTTTAATTATTTGGTTTTGTATAAAAATGTTTTACTCTATACTGACTGTTTGCCGATTGGCGAATATATATTAAGGTCACTTAAGATTCGTTCAAAGGTTGTCCATGAATTATAGTCTCGCCGAAGCTGTTTTAATAAAAATATCTCAGTGGTTAGATGATATGCGCTCACGCACGAGACTGGTAGGTCCTGAGTTCGAATCTCGCGAGTGCGGGATCGTGGATGCGTACTGCTATGGAGTCTCACAATAGGACGAAACAGATTTCAAGTAATTCCAGGTTTTCCATGTTGATCTAGCTTGAATTGACCCATGATCTCAACTATATAAAATCTATTTTGCATGACCAAAGACGGCATTTAATATTATTTGTTATGTAATTTTGTGTTTCAAACAGAATGATATATATACTCTTTAAAATTCTTTTAGTAGTTATTTTGTATTCCTTTTCAAACATATTTGTTCTTCAGCACATTTCTTCCCATTTAAGTAGTATTGAATAAATCTTATTGATTGAATTCACTTTGATCTATTTACATGAACAAACAGTCTAGTTACTGCTTTCAAACATTTTAGACAAGTAGAACTCATTATAAAGAGTCTAAGGGGGTGGGGTGGGGAAACAAGAACACTTTATTATTAGGTAAACAAATTTTTTTATTATAATATTATTGATGAAATGTTTATATATTTCCATGGAAAATTTAAACAAGTTTTCAGAAAAAAAATTTAACCATCCATGTTTTAAATAATTTGATGATTAGAACTCATCATACGCATATTTGATCCAACTTATAATACTACTATAAAGAAAAAGAAGAGGAAAAATGAAAATAAGAGAAGAAACAATGAAATTCAACTTAGCAACAATAAAGGCATAGATATTATTCATGAATAATATTCAGTAACATTGAGGAAAAGTTTTCGTTCTAGATTGAATCAGTTTGAATCAGTAATTTTGATATTATCGAAAGTGTATATAAAGTCAGTCAGTCAGTCAGCTACAACGTAGGATCAGGCACAGTTATGCATCGGTTCATGTTACCATACCTCGTTAGCACAACAAGATGAACGCCGGATTCATAGAAGTAGTTAATTTAGTGGTGATAAGTAGTAAGTAGTGACGATGTTATCTAAAATGACAACAAGGCTGAAATTTTATTTAATTTTCGTCGATCGAAATCTCTTACTAAGATAACAAATTATTAACAAATTTTATTAACATAATAATCATTCAGTTTCTAATTCGTTAATGGTGGACACGGCGAGTCCATCTAGGGGAGTTAGAAAACCCTGATTTCAAACCAATGGTGCACATGGACTCTAGTATCCTGGGGGAATCAATCATTGATCACTAGCTACCATTGGACTTCATTTTTTCATGATGCCCCACTGCCTTGTGGACTAGACCTTTAGGTCAAAGGCTCCGGGTGTGGCCCTCTAAGAAAATCACCTGTTTCAGTCTGGGCACTTGGGCAGTATCACAGCCCTCACACAAATCGAATGAGATTTGTGAGGCGCATATATATCTGGTGCCACTTTGTACCAATATTTATGTGTTTAAATAAAATAAAAAAGTCGTTAATGATAAATGACTTGTCTAAATCAAGAATCCATTGATTTGAGTATCAGGCTTCTAAAACTAGTTTTGATCTATAAAGGCCTTAAATTATAATCATTCATATATTATAAAATATATTAAAACAATTCGGAAAATGATAAGATCAGAGAATATAGCAGTCAGACAACAAATGAAAATGATGATAATTTTGTTAGTAATAACAATCAACTGATTTCTCTACTGACAAAACATGAGTTTAATCATATCTGTAAAAAGTAGAATACCTTACTGCTTTTCGAAGTATTCACCTATAATATTATTAAGGGAGAAATCATTTCTCTTATCTCTTCATGCAAATACTTTGTTAGGTAATTTTACATATTGAGATTAATCAAAATAAGTATTGCATAAATACATCCCCCCCTTTCTCAGATAGAATAGATTTTCTTATTACAATTTAGATGTTTACACAAGTGATTGATCACTTTAATAGTTTCCTGTAGTACATGTCATTTCAAAATGAAAAAAACAAAACATTTAAGAAGGATAAATTTGAACGGTAAACGCAATCTGGATTCTCTTATTAAATAAATTATATTTTAGAGGTTTCGTATTTTTGGAACTAGACAGTTTATTCTCAAAGCTTTAAAGTATATGCTGATGATGATGATGATGATGATGATTCATATAGGGACAGTAAAACCTTCACAATTAAACCTTCAAGTTTAGAGAATACAACACCTCCAAAATCATCGTCTTAAGCTCTCAATATTCTTCATCATCTCAGTAAATTAAATCTTTAATCTGTGAAACATCAAGTTAATTATTTAACAGTACAGTTTTGTTTATAAACTTACTTTAACCATAATAAGAATAAAATGATTGATCAATTTTACGATTTTTTTTCTCAATATTATCTTGATAAAATGGTATTCTATATGGTCGTAAATATGCACTGGGATATAAGAATCTTGGTCGACTTGACCATATACGTTCATATTCTGGTGAATATTCCGGAAAATCCATTAGGTCATTGTTTGTACGCATACTTAATGTACTGGTTACCAGTAAAACTAATAAATAAACATAGAAAAATAATTCGTTATTGATTTATTGTAAATGGAAACTATTAAATTTTAAAAGCTCATAGTGTATTTACATATTAAGTAAACTAAAATTAATAAAAAAAGAGTTTCATTTATTATATCTTAGGTCAAACACTATGATGATTGGCAAGTCGTAACGATTTTTCTTCTTGTCAATGGTTATTTCATTTAGTAAATGAACAAATGTTCTCCTTCAAGATGATTAAATGTGGAAGCACTGAACGGCCGTCTCGTCCCATTGTGGGACTACTCAGCAGTGCGCATCCATGATCCCGCCAAGCAAGATTTGAACCCAGAACCTGTCAGTCTTGCGCGCGAATAATTAACCGATAGACCACTGAGCCGGTCGGCATAGAACGGCGTTAATGTCTAACTTTAGCCAGTCCACCGTTAAGTGCTCGCGCGCGAGACTGATAAGTTCTGGGTTCAAATCTCGTGATCGTGGATGTGCACTGCTGAGGAGCCCCACAATAGGACGAAACGGCCGTCCAGTGCTTTCAGGTTTTCTCTGGTGGTCTAGCTTCAATTAACTCATGATCTCAACTATATAATATTTACTTTTTGTTTGAAAAATATTATAAGTATACAGAGTTCTTATATGTTTATGTTGTTAGTATAACACCAATCATTTTAGCTTTTAACTTGTCTATTTCGTCTTATTGTACAAATGCAAAATATACTTGGTCAAGTATTGAACAAAAAATTGTGTTAGATCTTGCATTTTTCTCAAAAAATAACAATGCTACTTATGAATCCATTTTACATTTTTTGCTTGAATCTTCCCATTGATGTTTACGACTGCAAGTGATCAGTCTCTTAATAGGATATGTGCATCCTGTGTGGATTGCCTCAATGTTGACTTAAGTCACAAGTATTATAAGCAAATATGAATGGTGTTAGTAGTAGAGGGACTGATCAATTGCAGTCCTAAACATCAATGGGAAGATTCAACTAAACAATATCAAGTAGATTTAAGCTTCACTCCATTACACAAGCAAGCGGCTATCAGAACACAGTAGCTTAGTGAATATCACGATAGCATTTGAAGCGAACGGTACAGGGTTTGAGTCCTGGAGTAAACAACTGTGAGATGCAGTTACATCCAGCTGACGAGTCCCAAATACAATGAAACGCGAGTAAAACTAGGTTCCACTGTTTATCACTATCCATTTTTGCTTATAATGTTGGTTATAAGTTTATTTAATTAAATTTTATCGTTTTAAACATTCCTTCAGTTTAATACGTTTACCTACCAGTTTGATGTTACTATTGTTACCTAGGGTACCTACCCTATCGTATGCCCTAGCGGTGTTCTCATGACTTTCGGGTTGCCTGATCTGCCAAGGGCGATGGAACACTGTATGACAGTATTGTAGTGTGCTAGGTTCAAAGTGAATTGTCTACATGCAAGTCCGCCCCGTTATTGTTCCTATTGTATCATATTATTACTTATTATTTATTTAATATTTATGATATTTGAAATAATCATTCTTTTTTCTTAGAATAATACAATCACAAAATGGTATGGTTATTGTAAGCAGAGATGGATAGTGGCTAGCAGTGGAATCCAGGACGTGCGTTTCGTCCTATTTGGGACTCGTCTCAACCGGATGTACCTGCGTCTCAGAGTTGATGTTCACTCTGGGTTTCGAACCCAGTACCCTCGCTTCAAACGCCATCGCGTTATCCACTCGGCCACTGAGTCCTGATAGCCACTTGCTTGTGTGATGGGGTGAAGTATGGTTATTGTTTTACAAAAAGAAAAAAAAACAAATCTAAATATAAATAACAATAGATTGTTCATTAATTAATCTACCATTGTCTTGTTATGTCATTGTAAAATCAAAATAGTAATTTGTAATTTGGATCTATTTTCTAAGTTTCTTTTGTTAAATTAAAACATACACATAATACAATTAATTGATTTTAAAAAAATAATAAAATTCGGAAATGTAATGGTAGTAACAACAATATTCAAATGGTAGATCAGGTATTTTCATTGTCTTACAAAACTAACTGTGGTTACAGGTTTGTGGGTCAATTACCATGAATGGTGTTTATTAACCATGCTTTATAAAGATACAAATGTTTCAGTTTTTTTTTTTCCAATTTCCGACATATGACATTAAAAAAGATCACCAAATGATTTGTCAATCATTTGAATGTTTCCAAGCATATTTTCTATTAAAATAAATGTGAACAATTTTTTGGTGTAGCACATTTATTTACTTCTTTAGTAATATAGCAACAGGAAAAGGGGAAAATAAGAGAAAATAAGGGAATTTTGTAATAATTTTTTAAAAAATACGTTCGGAAATAATCGTAGGGAGAATGTTTTGAAAATGGTAATGAAAAAAAAATATGTTTTAGAATATTTGAAACAGGTTCGAAGTTAAATTATTATGATTTCAGAAAGGAATGATTGAAAAGGATGAATAATTAAACAAATTTGATGATTAGAAGTAATTGATAGTGTGGAGTCTTATGACTTATCATGATGTTTGTTACTTATGTTAACATACATAAGTAGTATGTTACACAAATCGAAAGTGGAATACTTGGAAGCAGAAGGTTAAGAAGATTGAACAGAAGAGAATAGGAACAGAGAATGTTTAGTATGTAAACGAAAGAACAATCAAGTCTAAGACAATTGATGGAAATTTTGTAACTGAAGTATCGAATATACGGTATTTAGACTTTAACAAATGACTCTGTAACTTTTTATTCATATACATTTGATAGTCCCCACTTGTGTTTCGTTCACAACACTATGCGTTCATGTTAATAAATACTTGCTTGTAGGACAAACAAGAACTGATTATCACCAGATTTATTCAAATTATTTCACTTCTAATAAAGTACGCCGTAATATTGAATTATTTATACCAGTAACCAGATGGAATTAAACAAACTCTTAGTACTAGACTTGAATGATATTGATGACTATTGGTAAACGTTTATTATATGTCAACATCATTTTCAATAAACCCATCGTAGAAACTAGTCTAGTCTAATGTCAGGAGTGGGATTCGAACCCACGCCCTTAAATAGTGGACTGCTACCTGAACGCAGCGCCATGGACCGCTCGGTTATCCTGACCACACATTGTAGAAACTAAAGATATTAATTCAAATCAAAGATTGAAAATATATGGTCTATTTGAAGCAAATAAGTTCATTTTGGGAAGAAATTATTATATAGAGGAGAGAAAATTTAAATCAAATTTGGAGTAGATTTATCTTTCACTACGTTTTTAATTTAGTCTTTAATATGATATTTCTTAAATATAAATTTTTAGTCAATATTATGTGAAGTATTCGTTTTGTAATAGTTCAAGGAAAAACCCATCTTATAATTCCCTTTATTTTAGTTTTTCATAATTCTCATTCACTTATCATCAAATACCATTCACAATAGGTAAAGTACATTAAAATAACAAATAAGTATCAAAACACTACTTAAATGATTTTAAGTAGTTTACTAAGGAAATAAATTTCAATAATAACTTTTAAATTATTTTATGTATAAATACTTCATAAATGTACGGTAAATGTACCAAGTTTTACATTGGCTAGTTACAAATTAATCCTAATGCTTATAACAAATAACTGTTGACATAACATATAGGTTTAATTGTTTATTCATTTGTTCATATCAATGTGATAAATATTCGTTTGTTTAACCCAATATATTTGATAATGATATAATCATTTGCATTTTGTTCCAAGTTGTAGAGAATTTGTAAATTTATAAGATTCGGGGATTTTTTTTTTATACAGCTATAAGGCTATACCACTGGGAATTTGTGTTTTATAAAGCAGATCAGTTTAAGTATTTGTATGATTTCAAAACACTCATTATTCAATGAATAAATAATTTTTTTTTTAATTTGAGAATATACTTAGAATAAAAGGGATAAGAATGAAATGTTCTTGATTTATGTTTTAATTACACAATCTTAATCATTTCCAAAACTGTATAACTTTATTTTTAAAAAAAAAAAAATAAAACTTTGTTATAATTCACTGAAAGGCCTTCACAAGGGATAACAATGTTGTGAACGAGAACACTACTGGGGACAATAGAATGAATTTAAGCACAAATTACAGACTATCTCACTAAATTCTGATAGCCATACAATGAATAGTTAATTTGCAAAATAACGAGTAATCGTCTCAATTTTAACTGTTACTTCCGTCTTCTCTGATTATTATTGTTCATGCATTTTATTACTGATTGCGCTTCATTCCTGTTCGTTTCTTATCGATCTTCTGCCAAAATACATTCTATGTCTGATCATTACCATATACTACTTATATGGATATAAGTAGACTACACCACAACAAGAGTAAGTAAGTAATTAAGGTTGATATAATGTTTATTGATTGATACTACAGTTCTGTCAAAATATCAATCAATATCTGTTTAGATTATACAGAATAAGTATAAGTATTACTTTCATGTATGGCCAACTGTCTGAAATGATAAAAAAAATCTATATTCCAACGTAATTACTCGTATCTGTGATACGGAATGTGGATATTCATGATTGAATTTTGTATGTAAGATAGTAAGTATACTTTATTAAAATATCTCAAACCAGTAAGAAACATTTAGTAAGTAGATTTTTAAGGTTTAAAACGTTTTGTAGTTGAAATTTATCTTCAGATACTACTAACTACCTACATAATAACCCTACAATACATGCATATATATATATATATATAGAGAGAGAGAGAGAGATAAAGAGAGAGAGAGAAAGGGAAAGAGAGAGAGAAAGTGGGAGAGGGGGAGACAGTGACGTTTCAGTTTTTTAATAATTAATTCTAATAAACATTAAACCCTAATGTATTCGCTTATTAGTAGTAGATATGCATTGATATATATATATATATTACAACTAAACTAAACTGCATATTTAATTTATCAAAAAAACAAGATTGATTGCGTAGCTTAAAATTAAATTATACAGATCACAATAAAAAAATTTAAGGAGTATGGTAATTATGTTCCTTTTTATTGATATTTTTAGTTGCTGACTGTTTTTCCTTATTACGCAATATATGTTACAAATAGAGAGTAGAATTACAGAAAGAACATGTAACAGAAAAATCTACACTCTAACATATATAAGGATAACCTACCAAGACAAATGAACAGTGCATCACATGTGAAATTCATCGATTTATTTATTCTGAACATGGTTAAATTCTGAAAAATCTAAAATGGAGTAAAAATAAGAATAAGTGAAATAGAGTTATATATTGATGAAAAGAAAAAAAAAACTTTCTTTATAAGCAACGATGGATAATGGCTAGCAGTGGAATCCGTTTCGTCCTATTTGGGACTCGTCAGCTGGATGTATCTGCATCTCAGAGTTGATGTTCACTCTGGGACTTGAACCCAGTAACTTTTGTTTCAAATGCCATCGCGTTATCCACTCAGTTATTGAGTCCTGATTGCCACTGGCCTGTACAACGGGGCGAAGTTTGAACTCCAGCTGAGGAGTCACATATAGGATGAAGCACTCATTCTGGATTCCACTGCTAGTCACTGTCTATCTTTGATTACAATACTTGCGAATTAACGCTATATCAAGGCAATACGCTTAGTATGCACATATGCTAATCAGAGATTGACCAGTGGCAGTCCTAAATATCAATGAGAAGATTCAAACAATCCACACTAAGTGATATAAGCTTTCTTGTTTTTCTTATCAGGAAACAGAAATAATCATCGTTAAAAATATATTTTTATATTTTTCTAGCCCTTTCTAGTGTGTTTTTTCTAGATTGTGATTTTCTTTTTTATTATTTAAATAATCGTTAATTGATTTTAGTACTGATAATCTGTAAAGCCAAAAAATAATAATCGATCGATCGATCAAATTTTATTGAATCATAAATTTTGATTCTGAAAAGATCGTATCCTAATCGATTTATTCAAAGATAATTTTTGTCGGTAGATCGTATTATTTGAAGGTACATTTTAATTGAACCCCCACTCCACACAAATGATCTTGGCAAACCGTTAAAAACTAGAGGACTAATAAATAAATATATCATTTTAGTTCGAAACATTTTAATAAATATAGTATTCATGGATTGGTTGAAGTTAGACATTAACACCATAGGATGCCGGCTCATTGGTCTATCGATTAAGTGCTCTGGTGCGAGACTGGTAGGTCCTGGGTTCGGATCTCATTCGTGAGGCGGGTTCGTAGATGCGCACTACTGAGGAGTCTCACAATAGTACGAAACGGCCGTCCAGTGCTTCTAGGTTTTCCATGGTGGTTTAGCTTCAATTGACTCATGATTTAAACTATATATAAATATAGTATTCGATTACGAATATTCAAATCACATATAGGGTAGAAAAATTCGAGGTGTTAATTTAAGATTTCTGACATTACTATTATCAAAATTGATTTTCATCCAATATCAATGGATAGAAATTGTACTAGTACTGATTGGATTCATATTGTCCTCCAAGTGCGAGGTCACGAAGTTCAAAAATTAGTGATCATATTGTCAGACCGTCAATAACTCAAAATACTATGCTTTTACTGATAGTAATTTTCATTAATAACAGACTTCAACTAGAAAACAAATACTAACTATTGATCATTTGACAGTTATTTTGTAACAGTTTGCGACTTATAGAGGTGAAGTGTATATAAGTTCAATACATCGCGACACTAATACATTTTGCATACACCTTTCCTTACTTTTAATAGCATGCTAAAAGAATTTAAATACTACATATCTCGTCAATCGTCAAGATAATTAATGTATTTTAATAATGTTTTTCCTTTTATTTATTTGTAAGGAACGGAAATAACTATTGACAATGTTGTGAATAGGATAGATACTAACCACTATGAATCCATGAAATACAGTACTGAAAGAATTCTGTAGACATTAAGCCCTCGAAAAATGCAACAGCGGTTACCACTCAGTGATAATTCAGTTTAAATATCTCAGTTCTACAAATGTCACATACAGAGGAAAATTTCAAAGGTCACATTTGGAAACTTGATACAATCTAACGTTGGCTAAAACTTCAATAGTGTATAAATTCTCTGAAACTTAGGAATTCACTTTACTGACCAGCACTAACCAGAACAAAATCTTGGTCAAACAGGACTTGGTGTCATTTATCTCTAACAAAACATGATAGATATTTCAAGCAGTGAAATACATAAAACGTACAGCATAAATGAATGTGACCACGCGTAAATCAAAACTAGTAAACAACATTATACCCAGACAACATTCCTACTACTTTCTGTCTGATTGGATTTAGAGATGTTAATTTTGTTATTATACTATTATAAGCAGGTAAATAACTTTGTCATTAATTATTAATAGAATAAAATAACAAATGTATCTCCAAATACTACTCGTTTTTTCAATGAACAATTCATTTTTTATATCCAATTTGGAGTGTTCTTCTTGTATAAAGAAATAGTCAGTTTCAAATATATGCAAATTAGAGATTGAAATTAAACAAAACAAACAAATGTGAGCAAAGATGGATGCTGGCTAACAATGTGATCTAGTGTTACGCGCATTTTGTCTTATTTGGGACTTGTCAGCTGAATGTATCTGCATCCCAATGTTGATATTCTCTTTAAGACTCGAACACAGTACCGTTCAACTCAAACGCTATCACGTTATCCACTTAGCTACTGAGTCCTGATAGCTACTAGCTTGTGCAATACAACAACAATACAAAATGAATTAAAACAAACAATTGTTTTCAAAGTTGAAATCATGAATCAATTGAAGCTAGATCACCATGGAAAACTTGGAAGCATTGGACGGCCGTTTCGTCTTATTATGGGACTCCTCAGCGGTGCGCATTCACGCTTTCAACTATGAAAATACTAAATGTCCATAAAACCCCTTCTGATAATTAATTGTTTTCAAGTTTGTTAATCTATCCATTTCGTAAAAAAAGCATAAATAGATGGAGGTCTTCATGTTTTGGATTAGATCCTTGATGAAAAATGTTATCGGACTGAAGTTACATTGGTATAATTTATAAGTCACTAATATTATGATGAAGAAAAGTCATTTTTTTACAATAAAAAGAAAACCTTTTCTTCGAATTCTACTACATTTATCTTCAAAAAAGACTTAGTAGCGCCGCCAGCTATATTTAACTTGATTAGTTTAAATAACGATATTTTAGCATGTTACTCATTAGCATCTTATGTTTAATACATTATTTAATATTAATGTATGATTAATGACTTGATTAAGTGAGCTTATAATTTGCGACGTAAGAGATGATACATAAAATAATCATAGTCAGATGATAAATGATATAAGTTTTACTATTTAAAATATTTATTCTTATTAAACAAAATCCAGTATATATAAATAGTTGAAATCATGAGTCAATTGAAGCTAGACCACCATGGAAAACCTTGAAGCACTGGGCGGCTGTTTCATCCTGCTATGGGACTCCTCAGTAATGCTTATCCACGATCTCGCCTCGCGAAATCTGGGTTAGACTCCTTCAATAACTCTTTGTAAGACAGCTAAGAATGAACAAATTTCGACTGCTAAAAATATTTTCCGGCAACCAAAGTTTCAAAAATATTTATCGTGATGTTTGATTAAAATATTACATAACTCCATTCATTATGTTTTGATAAGAATTTCAGTGTACTAATCCTACCTCTAAAAGTAAATGCACTATATAGAACATGAATTTGGGTATAATTAACGTATTTATTGTGGGATAACAGTGTTCAAATAATAAATATACATAGCTTTAGATTATTCATTCGCATCTTGCTATGTGTTTTATAATTCAAACTTTCTTCTCGTCTGATCATTGAGTGTTCTCCCTACATCGGGCTTTTGATATATTGAAACTAATCTTTCTGTCTGATGACTGTAAAAACTACGAGGTCACAGAATACTGTATACTATTTACAAGCAATCTTATGAGTGACATTCACCACAATAGTACTTCAGACATTTTAAAGACAAGATATCAATTATTTATAGTATGCTAATTAGTTAATGTACACGAAAAATTTGATATTTAGAGCGTTTTATATTGTGCGATATGTCGTATTGTAAAGGTTCTAACACTAGTTGATACTATGATCAAATTACAAACAGTGATAATGTATATCGATTAAAATGTCACCAGTTTAAAACAACAGAACGAAACTACATCACTTATTCTTTGAATGGAATCTCAAAACTATTATATTAACGATTAATATACACTGTGTATTAATTATTTACTTATTTAAACACACAAATATTGGTACAAGGGGGAACCAGATACATATGCGCCACACAAATCTCATTTGGTTTGTGTGGAGGCTGTGATACTGCTCGAGTGCCCAAACGAAGCAGGTGGTTTTCTTAGGGGGCCACATCCGGAGCCTTAGACCTAGATGCCTGATCCACAAGTCAGTGGAGCATCGTAAGGAGATGCAGTCCCATGGTAGCCAGTGATCAACGATTGATTCATACGCCATTTTTTCCCTCAGGATACTGGAACTCGTGTTCACCAATGGTTTGGAATCAGGGTTTTCCAAATCCCCTAGGTGGACTCGCGGAGTCCACTAACCCTGTTAAAGCGTCGGATATTCGCTTTTCGTCCTCTCAATTTCGTAGACAACACCTCCACCACGAGAATGCAGAGAGTAAAACTTCCCTGATAGAGTCTATATACGAGTGGCCATGTGAGAGCATTTCGAGAGAGAGAGAGAGAGATCGAACTCTCCCCACTCTTGGCCGTACCAGGGCATTTGAATCGATGATAGAATTACCAATTTTCAAGAAACTACTAATTAGAAAAGGGATCTCTCGAAATCTACATGCTTAAAATTCACATGTTGGATTATATTAAAACAGATTATGTAATATAAAACTTAATTTATATTTCTAACTGTTAATTTCGGATTAACTATTAAGTTATAAAAAGCCAAACTGTAGTAAACGAAGATTTGATGGGATAACTGGAGTTCTTTGGTAAAATGTGGAAATATCACATTAAATACTACATTTTAAAATCTTCCATTAATTGTATCTTACAAGCTTCATAATTCCTTCCTTGTTATTACAATTACCAACTGTTTGCATTCTTGTCCTCTATCATTCGATCTTCTCAACTTTCTGCTACTAAATATTCCAATTCCAATTAGTGTCACATAATGTAATGAACAGAACACCGGTTGGGGACAATGGAATATATTTAAGCACAAACTACAGACTATCTCACCTAATTCTGATAACCATACAATGAACAGTTAATTTGCAGAATAACAATCATTTGTCTCAACCTTAACTGTTCCTTCTGCTAATATCAATCCGTCTTCTCTGATTATTATTGTTCATGCATTTTCGTACCGATTGCGCTTCATTCCTGTACGTTTCTTATCGATCTTCTGTTAAAATACATTCTATGTAAGACCATCACCATTATACTACTTATATAGATATAAGTAGACCACACTATAATACTACTTATATCTCTCGACATAAGTAGAATTCATAAGAAAACATTTTCTCATCTAGGCTTCTTATTTGACGTCAATTTATTATATATAAAACTGAGATAGTCGATTAAAAGCTTAATAATATCATGAATAAATAAACTCTATCCTTTTGTAATGAATGATTTAGTACGCTTTCTTAATAAGGTAATTCATCTGTAGACTTATACTGATAAATCAGCAAGCAAATAAATACATGACTTAAAAACCAAAAAAAAACATACGATGTTTATCTCTGTAATCTAAGTTTGCCAAGATTGATTTAACATGAAAGTAGCCTGATGTTGTTTTTTAAAAAAAATCTGAAATAAAATCGTTGTTTTAAAGTAAATAAATATTAAAGAAACTGTTGTATACGCTTCCAGGGAAATCTTATCGATCAAACACAATTATAATGCTAAAAAATATAGATGAATTAGTAAAAGGGTTGTTTAAGGATCTTCATAAAAATAGAGTTATCAGGTCAAACACCTGTCGACAAGCATGAAAGTTCTATGTTTAACTCCTGATAGAATCATGGTCGTAGAAAACTTCATGCCTTAGTAAAGTGGTTGTTGATTACATCCTAGTTTTTAAAATTTCTCTAATTAATTTCAATTTAAAGCAACAATCATCCTTAAAATAACTTAAAGTCATTTGATACTTTTAACAGTGGATTAACATAATCTATTATTTGTTGAACTGTTTAGTCAATCGAAGCTAGATCACCAGTGAAAACCTGGAAGGACTGGATGACCGTTTTGTCCTAGTATGGCACTCCTCAAAAGTGCACATTGACGATCCTGCATGCCAGGCCTGAATCCAGGACTTTTGATCACACACGAAAACTATTAAACTCTAGATCACTTAGTCGGTATTCAACACTGTTAATGTCTAACTTCAATTAATGGTGATCCAGCTTACATGGACTAGTGAATTCAACTATATAAATCACTACAGTCTCCATAAACCCCTTATTCTAATAATAATCTATTAAGTTTTCTATGTGTGTCAAAATGTTTAGTTATTGTAAAGTTCTCAGATTTTATTTTGCAGTGAAGTAAATAAAACTATTTAAGTTTTTCATCCAATGATAACATTTTACAATTTAATTAGATTTACATATATTAATCAAATCAAATTTTGTTGAAATACAATTATATGAACGAAGATTGTATTCTTTTCAATAATTTCTCATTAGGTTCTACAACTATCACATCTAAATTAATAATCCATAAAAGAAGATTGACTAAGTTTGAGTCAGAATACATCATTTAAAAACTGGAGAGAATTTAGTATTTTCATAGTTGAAATCATGAGTCAATTGAAGCTAGACCATCAGGGAAAACCTGGAAGCAATGGACGGCCGTTTCGTTCTATTGTGGAATTCCTAAGCAATGGACATTCACGACCTCGCCTTATGAGATTCGAACCCAGGACTTACCAGTGGTTTATCGGTTAAGTGTTCTTGCGCAAGACTTGTAGGTCATAGCTTTGAATCTCATTCATGAGGCGGGATCGTGGATGCGCACTGCTGAGGGGTCCCATAATAGGACGAAATGGCTGTCCAGTGCTTCCAGATTTTCCCTTGTGGTCTAGCTTTAATTGACTCATGATTTCAACTATGAAAAATTGTATATCTCATTTCAAAAAGAATTACACAGTTAGTTTCCTTACTCACTTATTACCATTACTGTTATCATATATAAATTTCTGAAAACTATTGACCAGAAAGCGATATGTTATTATAATAATAAGGAATATATCATATCTCATATTGAACACTTAATTAAGGTCGATCATTTATATTGAATTAATTAATCTTGAATAATTACGTGGATATGAATTTATTAAAAAAATAAGTATGACATTGTAAGTCTACAATGTAAAGAATTCTGTACTGGTTAACAATACAAATGTTCCATATGATGAAAAATCAATGTTTTGAACTGATAGATTGTTATTAAATGTATGACAGACTAGTAATGTTACGGAAACCATATCCAATAATGTGCTTAAGAATTTGGTAGTTTCATAATGTTGATATGATCAATATTGAATATTGTAGGATAAAGTATGTTTATATACAAACTTGTATGATGAAACAATAATGTTTCTAATTAGTCATCTTTCACTATCATTATCAACATGGAAACTAATCGGTTCTTTCAAATTTAAGCATAAAATTCATTAATTTGTAGTGCTTAACATGGATTTGAAGAGTCTGCATAGGTTTAGAGAATTTAAAGAATGAAAAAAGACGATGAATGTAGAGATGATTTTACTTCCTTACGCCTATTACTCCCATTGGAGCATAGGCCACCGACCAGAATTCTCCAACCCATTCTGTCCTCGGTTTTCCTTTCTAGTTCTATCCAACTTTTGTTCATTCTTTTCATGTCTATCTCCATTTCTCGACGTAATGTGTTCTTTGATATTCCTATCCTGCTTTGGCGTTGAAGATTCCATGTGAGGACTTGTCTTGTGACGTAGTTGGATGATTTCATCAATGTGTGTCCTATCCACTTCCACCACTTCTTCCTGATTCCTTATTCCATTGAAATCTGATTTGTTCTCTCACACAGTAGGTTGTTGCTGATAGTGTCTGGCCAACGGATCCGAAGTATCTTGCGTAGACAAATGTTAATAAAACACCTGTATCTTCTGGATGATGGCTTTTGTAGTTCTCCAGGTTTCCGCCCATACAGTAGAACTGTCTTGACATTTGTATTGAAAATTCTTATCTTGGTGTTGGTCGACAGATGTTTTGAGTTCAAGACATCCTTCAGTTGTAAATATGCTGCTCTTGCTTTGCCGATCTGCGTCTTCACATCTGCATCACATCCATCGTGTTCATCAATGATGAGGGATGATTTTAGTGTACATAAAATAAAGATTAATTTGGTGATCTCTTTCTGAATACATAAATTAATTTTGAGTTTCTTTATTGTTACTGCGTTACGATGACCTGAATTAATCTCGCAATAAAATGCTTTATCCCATTTAAAATTAACGGTTTAAGAATGGAGTTTTACACATTATCACATATAAGTCAGCTGAAGAGCCACTAAAGTTTATGAGATTCAGAAAACCATTTCATCCTAGTTCATCACTTCTCAAAAATGTAATTATATGATCGAAGATAGGGATGAAATCAAAATAGTCTGACTTAATAAAGTAATGCTTATTGGTTGCTTCCTCCCAGAAGAACATTTAATGGGAAGTGGAGAATTATAGAACATTTGGTCGTTTGGAATATACAGTAGTTGTTTCACTATATTGAGATTTGACTTAAACAAGGGTGCATCAAGTATTGGATTAAGTTATTTCATAAATGCTTTTCAAAGTTGAATTTTAATCGAGATCATGAATCGGTCAATGTTAGACTACCATTGAAAATCTGGAAGCAGTGGACGGCCATTCAGTTCTAATATAGGACTCCTAAGCAGTGAGCATCCTCGAACCCACACGCGAGACACGAAACCAGAAACTTGAGTCACATAAGAACGCTCAACAACTACACCGCTGAGCCAGCATTCAACGGTGTTTATGTCTGAGTTCGACCAATTCACGAGATTGCACATCCATCTTCAATTGTCTTCGGTGGATAACTGTGTTGCATCCGATGCGGTCGAACTCCACTGGTCACAACTACTAACTAGAACCCTTTGAACTACCTCTAGAAGCTATTCACAAGTGAGCACATAAGTTGTTGCTCGATTTTATATGCAGTCTTTGTGAGGAATCATTAAGCTTTAAACGAAAACTGTTTATTGAATTCTTAATTTTAGTATTTGCCAACTGATATCTGTCTATGATTAAAACTATTTCCTTATCCTAAATTTGCTTACAAATTATCTGAATACTGTATTTATTAACAATATATGCTGAATTTAATGGTATAGTGTTCTGTGATTTTATTTTTAAATCTTATCATTTTTTCTAATTCTATTTAACAATCATCCTAATTGTCTAATATTTTTTAGCGTGATGATTAAAATCTCATCAGCAAACCTATTCACTGCCAATGCTTTGTAAAACTAAAGAGCAAAAACAGAAAAGAACTTAACAGTTTATGAAATTGCTTCGTAATTTGTCTATTAAATACTTCAGTCGTTGAGATCATGAGTCGATTGGAGCTAGACTACCATAAAAAACCTGAAAGCACTGGACGACCGTTTCATCCTACTGTGGGACTCCTCAGAAGTGCGCACCCATGATCACGTCTCGCAAGATTCAAACCCAGGTCCTATCGGTCTAGCGCGTGAGCGCCTAACCTCTAGACCACTAAGCCGGCCGGCATCCAACGGTGTTAATGTCTAACTTTAATCGATCTTAAATATTTCTTAATAAGAAGTTTGTTGTATTTAACAAGAAATAATACAGACTTTATCCAGTAAACTATTTAATTTCAATCTATTTTTCTTATGATCGCTAACATATTTATGAATGTAAACGTGTTGAGATTCTGATTTACGACAATTATCAATGAGAAACGTTAAAAACTAATTGGTTTTACCTATAATTACGCCGGTTATATATATGATTATGATGGAGTTTTGTTTTCTGAGCTGGATGGTTTGGTCGTGGAGCTTTCATCATCCTTCTGAACGACATCATCAGGTCAAACTTCGGATAGAAGAAACAAATCTTACAGCATCTACACTACGTGAACTATTCATGATGTCCAACTCATCGAATGAAGCTGGTATTTTCTAAAAAATATTTTATTTAGATAAAATATATTTTCATAGTTTCACAGTTTAAATGGCTGATAACTCATATGAGATCTGCCTACTGTGGGAAAGAATAAAGCAGCTACCATTTGAAGAAAAAATTAGGAAAAGACGTAGAGAGTGGATAGGACAAGCATCATCAAATTGCATGACGAGGCAAGCCCTAACATGGAATCTTGAAGAGAAATGGAAAAGGGAAATATCAAAGAACGCACTGCACCGATAATCGGATACAGACATGAAAAGGATAAATAACAACTGGAAAAGATTGTTCAGGACATAGTTGGATAGATAATGCTATTGGGAAGCCTATACTCCTCCATGAGGATTAATAGACGTAATTAAGTACATATAACCTAATAGTAATGTTTTTCGCTAAATCTTTATCAGGTTTTATTCTAATATACATGAATATTTACATGGATACATTCAAGTTTGACTGACTCCCTATGTTGAACTGTTAACTAGAATGTCTATTATTTTATTATTCTTATCATTATTAATATATCTGTCTTCTAACTATTAATTTGTATCTTTTACATCTTCTATATACTCATGTAATCTATTTCGTTGTGATCAGTGACTCCTAAATTGTCTTGAAGGGTTTAGCACTTTCGTATAAACATTTATGTATATAAGAGTAAATCCTGCTGACGATGTAACTGGAAACGATATTGTTCTTTTATATGTGTTCTTCCCAGTAATTAATGCTAAACATTAATTGAAATAAATTATGTTCAGTGATGAATGGTCCTAGCAATTTATAACTGAAAAACTAACAAACATTTCTGTGAATTGAAATACGCACAGTATGCAAATATGTCAATTAGAGACTGACCAGTTGCAGTCCTAAAAACATCAATGGGAAGATCCAAACAAACAATACTAAATACATTAAATTCATTCAGTATTGTTTTGATTGAATCTTTCCATCGATTTGTAAGGACTGCAACTGGTCATTCTCTAATTGGCATATGTGCATACTGTGCGTATTGCCTCAATATAGCCCTAATTCACAAGCATGGTAAGCAGAGATGGATAGTGGCCAGCAGTGAAATCCAGGATGCGCGTTTCGTCCTATTCGGGACTCGTCAGCTGGATGTACCTGCATCTCAGAGTTGATGTTCACTCTGGGACTCGAACCCAGTACCCTACCTACTAAGTACATTTCTGTGAATTATTGGAGTTCTAAGCAAATTTACTTGATTTGGGCATTGATAGAGGGATATAGGTATGTTTTTTTCTTGAAGGTGTTGTTTTCACGAGATACCAATGAACTACTTAATTCAAAGAACATAATACTTCTAAAATCCTCACTGTAAACTACAAATATTCTTTATCATCATAGGTATACACAGCTAATAAGTCGTAAATTGGAGGAAATTTAACCTCTCAATTGTACTACTAGCTGTAATCCAAATACAATACAATATACACTGTAATTAAAAAAATTCGATCAAATAAATACAATTCCAAATTGTTTTAAATAAAACCATCATATTTAATGGGGATACAATTTTAATTAAAGTGGATAAAATGTATGCACCCCATCTAAAGCTTTAGTGTTACAATTGAGACATAAAAGTTCCCGAATCAAGTTCACATATGATTGTAGGGTCACCTTGCTGAGAAGTTTCAAATTAAGATTTATCAGCTAGTTTTCAATGGTTCTCTAATTCAGCCTGAATGATATATAATTTTAAAAAATATATATCAAACGATCATCTGATATATATGAGTACAATATTCGGCAGATTTTCTGGCAAGCGTTTTATTAGCGAGTTGGTTTTCTACGGGATGGAGTAGCTAACCCCTGGCCAAAACCTCCTCCTTTACCCGGGCTTGGGAACGGCAGTAGCCCAGGAGGAGCTACAGCCATTCATCAATCGAATTCCACTTGACGGATAGGCTTTGGAGGATGTGAAAATCTTTACATATCTGGGAAGCATAATCGATGAACATGGTGGATTTGATGCTGATGTGAGGATGCGGATTGACAAAGCAAGAGCAGCATATTTACAACTGAAGAATATCTGGAACTCAAAACAACTGTCAATCAACACCAAGATCAGAATTTTCAATACCAATGTCAAGACAGTTCTACTGTATGGGGCGGAAACCTGGAGAACTACGAAACCTATCATCCAGAAGATACATGTGGCATATGATTCGTTAGGAGTAACAGACGTAAGTAAGTTAGTAAATATTCGGTTGATTGGTCTACTAGTGTTTTACCATTTGTTTTTTATCTATATTTATCGCTTATGTCAACTGACATTTATAATATCAGAAAAACTGGTTATCGTGAAAATTAAAAAAAAACAACAACAACAACACAACATCGAATAATGTTTAACGAAGACCTCATTGATAACAATATTGTTCACTTATAGGTGTTGTTATACTTAACAATAATCTTTGTTTATTTCTTCTACTTTGAGCCTATTTAATGTATGTGTGTGTGTGTTTGTTTATGTATATTAATCACCGTCTTCCATATAACAAACCACGCTATGTTTTTCTCAAAATATGTTCAGGGTTTTTATACACATCTCCTCAATAATCTATAGTATATGTATTTTATACAGAGAAAGTGTCACCTTATATTTGAAACATCATGTTGTCTATGACTGTTATTTTCTTTTTTTTTTGTTGTTGTTGTTTGTTTTCACTTGTTTACAACATCATTCAAGTTTCTTTCAAGTAAAGAGGTACCAATTTATTGAGAAAAAGTAAAGGTATCTACCTATAGGGTATTCACTAAGATAATCATTCCTTTAACTAAACATTTACTTATATTTACTCATAACTTATTATATATATATAGTTGACAGAATGACATTTTTTTTCTGTATATTTCATAGTAGACTCTAGATATTATCATATATATTATGGAAATGGTTATGTTTAATAACTGTTTATTGTTTTTTTTTAATTTTTTTAATTTTTGTATTTTTAAAATTTTTTTTTATTTTTTATTTTTTGTTTTTTTTTCTCGTATATATTACTGAATTTTTCATTTGTTTTTTTTTTAAAAAAACAAACAAAAAAAGTAAATAAATAAAACAGATTGGAGTTCAATTAAAAGATTAAATTATATTGATAAATAACAAAAAAAAAACAACCAAACAAACAATTCGATATCATATGTTCATTTTTCAATAATGATATAATGACCAATTTTAACTATGTTATCATTCATTACAGATCATTATTATTATTATTATTATTATTATTACTATTATTACCATTACTATTATTACTATTGCTATTATTACTATTATCATTGTTGCTATTACTATTATTACTATTATCATCATCATTATTATTATTACTACTATTACTACTATTATTATTATTATTATCACTGTTACTAAGGTCTCACTTTTGTCCATTGATGGGTAACAAAGTTGTTCTTTTCTATTTTTTTTTCTAAAAAAATCATAAACATATTGACAACCTCTATTTTTTAAATAAAGACAAAATAAATATTGATGCAGAATAATATGAATTCATTATATTTCGTGGTTTCTCATTAGCTGCTTACAACCAAATATGCATTAGATTTTTAGCATTGGAGTAATAAATAGAATGGAACGACTGACATAAGTGAATGTAAAGGATTGGAATAACAAAAGTCATCGATGATAACTATATATATATATATATATGGGCAAGGAAAGGTCAGAGGTTATTTTTTTATACAATTATCATTCGATTTTTAATAATCCATGATTTATTCACTAATAATAATGTATACTATAAAAAGTGGAAAAGGTTTAAAATGTTACATAGTGACATTAATCTAACCAATTAATTTACTTTAATAATGTATAATAATAAAATACAATAAAATCTCATCAGTTGTTCACTGGTGACTCACTGACTTCTCGTGGCACTACTGTTGTTTACAAAATTGAGAGGACGAAAAGCGAATGTCCTACGCTTTAATAGAGTTGGTGGACATCGAAAGTCCACCTAGGGGAGTTGGAAAACCCTGATTACAAACCAATGGTTCACATGGGTTCCACTATCCTGAGGGAACAAATGGTGTATGAATCAATAGTTGATCACCGGCTAACATGGGACTGCATCTCTTTACGATGCTCCACTGTCTTATGGATCAGATATTTAGGTCCAAGGCTGGTGGTGTGGCCCCCTAATTAAACCACCTATTTCCGTTTGGACACGTGGGCACTATCACAGCCCTCATACAAATCGAATGAGATTTGTGTGGCGCATATATATATATATATATATGTTTAAATAAATAAATAATGATCTAAGATGGATTTCCTAGAGTTTTAGTGAGAATCCGTGATCAGTAGAATCCCATTCCTGTCGAGTGTGAGACAATTATTCACTACCACCAGGCTATAGATGAAGAGTTACTCAAGATCATGAATTGATTGAAGTTACACATTGATACCATTGGATAGTAGCTCATTGGTTTAGAAGTCAATCATTCGCTCACGAGACTGAAGGTCTTGGGTTTGAGTCCTGCGTACGTGGTCGTGTATGTGCACTGCTAAGGAGTCCCATATTAGGACGAGACGAACGTCCAGTGCCTCCAGGTTTTCGATAATGTTGTAGCTTAGATCGACTTATCGATTCAGTTGTTAAAACTTTCAAAATACTTTACATTATGGACTAATAGTATTCGGTAAGCCATTAAATTTAGTTTGAGCTTGTTTCGTTTAGAACACCCGAAAGTTCAACAATTAGTGTAACATCGTTCAATCAGTGATATATGATCTAATGAATTACAGTTCTTCAATCAGTTAATTTAATATAAATTAGGAATATTATTCTGTATCATCATTGCGTAATCAAATCATTTCAAACATAATTACTTCCTAGGTTATAAATGCCTTGTCAATAATTTCTTCTTGAATACAGTGATGTTTTCTTAGTATATATTTACCATCATCCAAGAATACAGAGCA